TCCTTCAACTCCTTGCGGATTTCTGATATCTCTGATTCCTTTGTTGTGTCGACTTCATTAGTTGTGCTGAATTGGTGAATGTTCTCAGTCATGGTGTTAAGCAGCTTCCTTGCTTCTTCAGGGGTTTTGAGTGTAAAAATCTCTCCACTTGCTGAATCGATGTACATCCGATCTTTATAGAGGAGACCATCATAAAAGTTCTGAATTAAAAGTGCTTCACTCAGGTTGTGATAAAGACAACTCGCACAGATCTCGTTGTATCTCTCCTAGTATTGATGCCACTTCTCGTCATCTATTTGTTGACAAGCAGTGATTCTCTTTCTGACATCAGCACGCTTCGCTTCTGGAAAGTACTTATTCAAAAATACTGTCTCCATCTCCTTCCAAGAATTTATGGATTTTGATGGCAGACTTATGAACCAGTTTCTCGCTTTTCCTTCTAATGTCAAAGGAAAAATTCGAAGTCTTACTTCCTCTTGAGGCATCCCAGTGATAAAGAAACTATTTAGATGCTCATGAGGGTTCTCATGAAATTCTCCTTGAAAAGTAGGCATCTTATGGATTATTGCTGACGGCAATTTGCAAGTCATATCCAAAGTAGAATAATCAATGCAGAGCGGCGGCATCTCACTGTTGAAGTTCAGCTCCCGTAACATTTGTGGTTGTGCCATTGGATCTATTCTGCAAAACAAAGATGATCAAGTGCAAATCTAATAGAAAAAATAAAGAAAAAAAATTGAAACACAATCTCCCCGGCAACGGCGCCAAAATTTATGATCGGTCGTCAGCAAATCATAAAAATAAAATATTTATCCCAACAATTACTAAATCTTCAAGCAAACTTATCCCAAGAAGAAAAAAACTTATCTATGGAAGAAGAAGAAGAGGGGGCGGCGGCTCCAAGAGTTTCTCCTCCAAATCTTCAAGCAAATCTACAATATATTTTTCTAAAGAGAGAATACATAAAAACCTAGACCTAAGGTGGCTATTTATAGGAGAAAAATAACCTAAAGACTCCTATTAGACTTATGATAGGACTCTAGGACGTTCTAGGGGCTGACTTGGTCTCCAAGTTGCTCCAAGTTGGCTTAAAGTCTTCCTAGGGTCAAAATCCAAGTGAAAGTAGGATCCTGAAATTTCCAGAAATCGCACAGCAAATTCGACGTCAATTTTGGGCTTGAAAACGGCAGAACTGTGCTTTGGTTTTCAAAGGAAAGTTGTAGATCTCGGAGTTAACTTTCCAACGGCTACTCACGGGCCTAAAACGAACGTCTGAGCAGAAAGTTATGACGTTTTTACCGAGACTGTGCTGAATCCGGGATTAAATCGCAAATCTGCGGGAAATTACGGGATTTAGATATTCTTTTGAATATTAAGCCCACAAATTGGGATTTTAACTGCAATTATAGGTTTATATGGGCTGAGTATAATTCCATATAAAATATCCAAAGATCCTTAACTTTCGGGTTTCATCTGGGCTTGTCTTCAATCCTTTGCAAATTAAGCTCCAATCTTCAATTCTTGCTTCTTGAAATAATTCTTCAATGGTCTTCAAGTCTTCAAATTATCTTCAAGAAATCTTCAAAACACGAACTTCGAATCTCCAAATCTATACTCAAAATTACTTTACTCTTATCTGTGTAAAAAGTCATCAAAATAGCTCCAAAAGTAGTGAAAATGAACAAATTTCCAATTTCACATCTCTTAAAGACTCAAAACACAAATATCATCAAAATAAGGCAAATTAGAGCATAAATAGACCCAAAAACATAGTAAAATAACCATAAAAATAGGGTTGTTTTTGGCTCGATCAATAATGACCAATTTCTTTTGATGGATAGTTAGCTAATTATTTAGTAGTAGATGATCTTGATCTATTGAGTTGATGAATTTGAAGAAATTGAATTAATTAAAGCTTACCCATGGGCCGAATTTTACATACCTTGTCATATTTAGGTTTTGCAGATTGCCTTGCATATGACTTAAGTTTAGTTTGAAGAGGAATAATTGGTGGTGGGAGCTTTAAGTGTATTATGCCTATTGAGGAATAGAAGAAAAACATGGTCCATAAGGGTGAATTTGACCAATTTAAATTTTATGCGGTTAGGTATGGTTTCTTCAAAGTTTTTCGTAGGTTTGCCAATTGCTTCCGTCAAATTTGCATTCTTTTGCTAGTTATTAAGTTAACCATGTCTAAGTTAAAGTTAGTAAGATTTACCTATACTCATGCATCACTCATATTGTTCTAGGATTTGTTATGTTACATGGTTTGTATAGAAGCTATCACCATAAGTTAGTAAGATTTACCTATACTCATGCATCGCGGCGGTTGTCACATACCAAGTTTTGGATAGGGGTGTGACAATGGTGTTGAATTTTTCTAATCTTGAATATAATCATTACTACATTCAGCATGTAAAGAAGAGGCTTCTCCATGCAATACAATTAGTATATGATTCTACAAATCCAAAACACGCCAAGTGATTGCATGCTTCTTCACGAGTGACCCAATATATGTTACAACAACCCTTACAGGGCATACTATCGTATCCTTGCAATGCTTTTGAAAAAGTCAAATAAGGAATTTTTCACTCCTAAAAGATATTCATCGCAACTCTTTATCCTATTTATGTCCATGATTGTTGTCTAGTAATCATGCAATTATAAATAAATAAATAAAAATGTTGATCAGAAGTATATAGCGGTGGCTTGGGATGAGTGGGATAGTTAAATAAAGTATAATGTTAAAGAGCATTTAATAAAACGAAATTTAATGGGACAAAACAGAAAACATCTTTCAAGCTGTTCTGAACCATGCCATTTGGTATCAAAGCCGGCTCTTAGGGTATTACCAATTTGACACTGAGTACACTGTGTCATTTTCGTTGTTATGAATTATGTTACGTTAATAGTTAATGAGTGATGAGACATGAATACACATCAGTTGTGTAGTAGATTTTTTCTTATAATATAAGTGTTCACACTACCTTTAACTTGTGGGGCATTTTTTTCTGATATGAATCTAGTTGTGTTAGATTCAAATCTAGCCTTTGAATAACCACCAAAGTCGACTTGAAATACCAACTCTTCTAGATGAGTAAATCGATGATATTCACCTAAGCAAGTATCTTCGTTCGTCGGCCTTAAGTCTTCAATTATACCTGCAATTGAACACCTAAGATCACAAGATTCACAAACAATTAAGCTCACACAACCTAATTGTTTGTTAGGACTCTAGAAGATTGAAGAACCCTAAGTTTCCTCAAATTAGAACAATGAAGCTAAGATAATCAATTTGGGTGTAAAACCTCAACTTTATTAATCAACTCAACCTGTGTTTACAAGAGGGGGATGGTGCCTTTATATAGGCATCAAGTCGACGCATACCCCCCTTAACCTCCTTACATAGGCGGTTTACATATAAAGGAAAGAACAAGGAAATAGCCTAGTCCTTGTTCAACTAGGAAAAGTAAATAACATAACTTAATAAAACAAGGATTGGACTTAGTCAAACAAGACCCAACCCAATGTCTTCTAGACTAATTAAGTAGCTAATCTAAGATAGAACTAAGACCCATATGGCCAAATTACACAATGTAAGCTCTAGGGTTCTAGGATTTGTTATGTTACATGGTTTGTATAGAAGCTATCACCATAAGTTAGTAAGATTTACCTATACTCATGCATCGCGGCAGTTGTCACATAAGTTACCAAGTTTTGGAACGGGGTGTGACAATGGTGTTGAATTTTTCTAATCTTGAATATAATCATTACTACATTCAGCATGTAAAGAAGAGGCTTCTCCATGCAATACAATTAGTATATCATTCTACAAATCCAAAACACGCCAAGTGATTGCATGCTTCTTCATGAGTGACCCAATATATGTTACAACAACCCTTACAGGGGCATACTATCGTATCCTTGCAGCGCTTTTGAAAAAGTCAAATAAGGAATTTTTCACTCCTAAAAGATATTCATCGCAACTCTTTATCTATGCATCCTATTTTTGTCCATGATTGATGTCTAGTAATCATGCAATTATAAATAAATAAATAAAAATGTTGATCAGAAGTATAGAGCGGTGGCTTGGGATGAGTGGGATAGTTAAATAAAGTATAATGTTAAAGAGCATTTAATAAAACGAAATTTAATTGGACAAAACAGAAAACATCTTTCAAGCTGTTCTGAACCATGCCATTTGGTATCAGAGCTGACTCTTAGAGTATTAGCAATTTGACACTGAGTAGACTGTGCCATTTTTGTTGTAATGAATTATGTTACGTTAATAGTTAATGAGTGATGAGACATGAATACACATCAGTTGTGTAGTAGATTTTTTCTTATAATATAAGTGTTCACACTACCTTTAACTTGTGGGGCATTTTTTTCTGATACGAATCTAGTTGTGTTAGATTCAAATCTACACTTTGAATAACCACCAAAGTCGACTTGAAACACCAACTCTTCTAGATGAGTAAATCGATGATCTTCACCTAAGTAATTCTCTTCGTTCGTCGGCCTTAAGTCTTCAATTATACCTGCAATTGAACATCTAAGATCATAAGATTCACAAAAAATTAAGGTCACACAACCTAATTGTTTGCTAGGACTCTACAAGATTGAAGAACCCTAAGTTTGCTCAAACTACAACAATGAAACTAAGATAATCAATTTGGGTGTAAAACTCAACTTTATTAATCAACTCAACTTTATTAATCAACTCAACTTCTGTTTATAAGAGGGGGATGGTGCCTTTATATAGGCATCAAGTCGACGCATACCCCCCATAACCTCCTTACATAGGCGGTTTACACATAAAGGAAAGAACAAGGAAATAGTCTAGCCCTTGTTCAACTAGGAAAAGTAAATAACATAACTTAATTAAGCAAGAATTGGACTTAGTCAAACAAGGTCGAACCCAATGTCTTCTAGACTAATTAAATAGCTAATCTAAGATAGAACTAAGGCCCATATGGCCGACTTACACAATGTAAGCTCTAGGGTTCAGTGATTTCAAGTAAAGTGCAAAGCTTGGAATCGTTGGGAATATTCTTGATGATGTCGACTCCAATGCTTCCCAATTGATCTTCAATGGACTTCAAGTCTTCAAGATGAGTTTGAACAAAGCTTGTTAATGCATCTTTGAACTTCTTAGCTATTGCTCTTGTTATCGGACCCAAAGGCATCCTTAAAGGATCAAATGCCATCTTACTGGCATCTCCATGACCTAATGGCATCTTTGGTGCGAATCCATTACCTAATGGCATCTTTGGTGCGATTCCATCTCTTTCTTGTTCCTCCAAGCTTCCTTGGAATCCTTGATCATCCCCTCCATGATTTCAATTGTGTTCTTCATGTCCATGATAAGCCCTTGACGCATCATCCCATCTCACTTAAAAAGGATTTGTCCTCAAATCTGCATCACTATCAAACAAGGATAAGTCTGAAACATTAAAAGTAGCACTTACATTGCCATATTCACTAGGAAGATCTAGCTTGTGGGCATTGTTGTTGATCCTCTCCAAGACTTGGAATGGACCATCTCCACGAGCTAAGAGCTTAGACTTTCTCTTTTCAGGAAACCTCTCCTTCCTTAGATGCAACCAAACCCAATCTCCAGGTTCAAAGATGATCTCCTTGTGCCCTTTGTTACCAACCTTCATGTAGTGTTGTGTTTTCTTCTCAATTTGAACTCTAACCTAAACATGAAGATCCTTAACAAAATCGGCCTTCCTTTCACCATCCATGTCGACTTGCACACTCAAAGGTAAACTCAACAAATCCAATGGGGTTAAAGGATTGAAGCCATACACAGTTTCAAAAGGTGAATATCTAGTAGTACTATGTATGCTTCTATTGTATGCAAACTCAACATGAGGTAGACAATCCTCCCAAGTTCTTAAGTTCTTCTTAATTAATGCCCTAAGTAAGGTTGACAAAGTCCTATTAACTACTTCAGTTTGGCCACCGGTTTGAGGATGACAAGTAGTTGAAAATAACAACTTAGTACCTAACTAAGCCCATAAAGTCCTCCAAAAGTGACTTAAGAACTTAGCATCTCTATCATTCACAATCGTCCTAGGCATTCCATGTAATCTAATAATCTCTTTAAAGAACAAGTTAGCTACATTAATGGCATCATCCGTTTTAGTGCATGGAATGAAGTGTGCCATCTTAGAAAACCTATCAACAACCACAAAGATAAAATCTTTACCTCTCTTAGAACGAGGTAAACCTAACACAAAATCCATACTAATATGTGTCCATGGCTCATTAGGAATAGGCAAAGGAGTATACAATCCATGAGGCTTAGATATAGATTTAGCTTGCAAACAAACAATGCAACTAGAATCATGCTTGCCTACATCATATTGCATCTTAGGCCAAAAGAAGTGTTCATGCAATATCTCATAGGTTCTATCAACTCCAAAGTGACCCATTAAACCCCCTTCATGCGATTCCCTCACAAGAACATAACGCAATGAGCAAGAAGGCACACACAATCTAGATTCTTTAAAGAAAAATCCATCATGCTTATAATACTTTCCAAATCTAGAATTTTCACATGCTTTAAAGATTTCACCAAAGTAAACATCACTAGCATACAATTCCTTAATAAACTCAAATCCAAGAAACTTAGAATCAAGCATGGAAAGTAAGACATACCTCCTTGATAAAGCATCGGCTACAACATTCTCTTTACCTTGTTTGTAGTGCACCACATAAGGAAAACTCTCAATGAACTCACTCCACTTAGCATGTCGTTTGTTCAACTTTTGTTGCCCTCTCAAGTACTTCAAGCTTTCATGATCGATGTGAATCACAAACTCTTTAGGCCAAAGATAGTGTTGCCATGTTTGTAATGCTCTCACAAGAGCATACAACTCTTTATCATAGGTTGGATACTTCAATGCAGACTCATTCAACTTCTCACTCAAATAAACTACGGGCTTCCCACCTTGCACTAAAACAGCTCCAATTCCATCCCCTGATGCATCACATTCAATCTCAAAAGTATTGTTAAAGTTAGGTAAAACAAGCAAAGGAGCATTAGTTAGTTTTTCCTTCAAGGTCTCAAAAGCTTCTTGTTGTTCTTTTCCCCACTTGAATGGTGCATTCTTCTTCATCACACTTGTAATAGGGGCGGCTAAGGTGCTAAAGTCCTTAACAAACCTCCTATAGAATCCGTCTAAGCCATGGAAAGATCTCACTTCACCAACGTTGGTGGGGGTTGGCCATTCTTTAATTGCTTTGATCTTCTCCTCATCAACTTCTATACCTTGCGATGACACCACAAAACCAAGAAAAACAAGCTTGTTTGTGCAAAAGGTGCACTTCTTAAGGTTAGCATACAACTTCTCAACCCTAAGTACATCTAACACACAACGCAAATGCTCAATATGATAATCTAGGTTTCGGCTATACACAAGTATATAATCAAAATAAACAACAAGAAACTTGCCAATATAAGCTCTCAAAACATGATTCATTAACCTCATGAAAGTACTAGGTGAATTAGTCAATCCAAAAGGCATAACTAACCATTCATACAACCCTTGCTTAGTTTTAAAGGCAGTTTTCCATTCATCACCCTCTTTCATGCGAATTTGATGATTTTCACTCTTAAGATCAATCTTTGAAAATAAGCAAGCACCATGCAATTCATGAAGCATATCATCTAATCTAGGAATTGGGTGACGATACTTTACAATTATGTTGTTTATTGCTCTACAATCAACACACATTCTCCAAGTTCCATCCTTCTTAGGAACAAGCAAAACAGGAACTGCACATGGAGAAAGGCTTTCACGCACAAAACCCTTTTGAAGTAGCTTACCAACTTGCTTCTCCAAATCCTTTGTTTCTTCAGGATTTGTCCTATAAGTTGGCTTATTAGGTATTTGTGCTCTAGGGATTAAGTCATTTGGATGTTCAATCCCTCTAATTGGTGGTAAACCACTAGGAATTTCCTTAGGAAACACATCTACATAATCACTCAAAAGAGAAACAATGTTGCTTGGAAGCTCTCTTTCCAAGTTGTTAGTAGCAACAAGTGTATTTTTAAGCAAAAGCAAGATCAAAATAGAATTATCATTCAAAGCTTCTTTAATCTCACTCTTAGTAACTAACATACACTCCTTAACAACTTTCTTAGAAATAGCATGCTTATCAACCAAAACATATTTGTTGTCAACGCAATTCGCACTAAAACTAACATTCTTAGCCTTTTCTTGAGTCCTATATTCAGATTCCAATTTAGCAAAATCCTCTTTCAATTTCAATTGATCTTTTAAAACTTCTTGAGGTGATAAAGGAATCAAAGTAATAGGATGCTTACCGCAAACAAAAGAATACTTATTTGTCTCACCATCATGATGAACCTTCTTGTCATATTGCCATGGTCGACCAAGTAAGACATGGCATGCTTGCATTGGAAGAACATCACATAGCACCTCATCCTTGTACCTTGCCAAAGAAAGAGAAACCAAAACTTGTTTGTTAACCTTAATCTCCTCTCTATCATTGAACCATCCTAAACTATAGGCTTTAGGGTGTTTGGTAGTGGGCAACGACAACTCCTTCAGTAAGTACACACTAGCTATGTTTGTAAAACTTCCTCCATCAGTGATCACACTACTAGGCTTCCCACACGGATACATCCTAGTATGAAACAAATTCTCCCTTTGATTGTGCACATCTCCTTTATCTCCTTTAACATAGGCACTTAAAGTTCTTCTTGCAAGTAAGTTCAAGAGTGCCGGTGTAACACCATCATCATCATCATCTCCATCACCACTAGATCCTAGGACAAATTCTTCATCTTCACTCTCAATTTCACCAAGTCATTAAGAAACATAACCTTCTTGTTAACGCAATCCTTAGCATAATGACCATATCCTTGACACTTAAAACACTTAACATGATTCTTAGAAGAAGAACTTGATGAAGACTTAGAATCGGATTTAGGGCTTACCCCCTTTTGCGCCACCTCCTTCTCCTTGTTGAAAGTTTTCTCATCTTTCTTAATTGGAATTTTCGATGAGCTTGATGATGATGCAAAGCTCTTCTTAGCGCCATTCCTTTTAACTTGACTCTCGGCCTTCAAAGCATGTTGAAGCAATTCCTCAACATCATAGTGTTGTTGCATCTCCACTATGTCATGAATATCTCTATTCAAACCCGCCACAAACCTAGCCATAGTGGCTTGTGGAGCTTCATCAACCTCGGCCCTAGACATCAACAACATCATCTCCGAATAGTACTCATCAACACTCCTTGTCCCTTGCCTCAAAGATTGCAAGCTTTGATAAAGAGAATTGACATAAAAGCTTGGAACAAATCTCTTCATCATGAAACTCTTCAATTCCAACCAAGTTTCAATAGGTTTCTCCAAATTTCTTCTCCTTGATTGCACCAATTGATTCCACCAATTCAAAACATTCTCCGCAAACTCAAGGATAGCAATTTGCATCTTCTTAGATTCGGCATAGGGGTGATAATCAAAATACATGTCCAATTTTGACTCCCTCTCCAAGTAATCCGCCGGTGACCCTCTCCCATTGAATTTAGGGATTTTGTACTTGATGTTGTCTTTAGACTCCTCTCTTTCAACTCCTCTTCTAGGCCGCAAATTGTCATTGATGGCTTGACCTCCAAGCTCTTGTTTCCTCAATCTCTCCATAGGATCCAATCTAGGAACAACTTGTCTTGGTGGTGGAGGTTGAACCCTTTCATTGTTGTTTGCGGCATTGCCTCTTTGTTGAGGAGATTGAGCTTGTTGATTTTGCCCCTCCCTTACTTGTTGGACATCATTAGCCAAAGCATCAAACCTAGTATTCATAGTATCCATGTGTTGCATTAGGGTTTGCAACATAGCAGCCAAATCGGCTTGCTCACCTCCTTGTAATTTGTCTCACAAGTGTGTGTGTGTGTGTGTGTATACCGTTGTGCTCTCGTGTTTACACTCAACCTATGGATTGGCGGTCCACTACTCTCTTAATGATCTCACAAGATTATGCCTTTTACTAACTTTAATAGGCCTAATAAGAGCAACTCGTTAGAAAACTCATTTCTTCTCGTGACCTACTTGAGGAACAAACAATTACTAGCAAAATTTTTGTGAATCAAAGGAAAGTGATCTAAACCAAAACCAAACCACTTATGCAGGCCTCCTTATGTCGAATATCCTTCTCCAAATTTGCTACACAAAACTCAATTCAAGCACAATTCAAATCGATTAGAAAAACCTTAGTACCACTTAGATCCAATTTTGTACCACTTGTCTCCAATAGGGTTTCAACCTGAAATTCTTCAAATTAAACCTTAATTCATAGCAAAAGCAACCCAAGGATCTCAATCAAACAATCAACTTGGGTTAATTGCAACAAATTGAATCAATTGCACAATAGAAAACCCTAATCCCCAAATTCCCAATTCAAAACCCTAGTTCCTGCAAAACGTCGATAACACCACAGATTTTTTTTTTTATTTTTTTTCAATATTTTTCCCTGAAAGACCACACTAAAAGAAGTCTATAGCTCAAATTTCAAATCTTTCCGAGCTCAAACGAATCCAGAACAAAATTCACAAGTTTCTGGTTGAAAATTTATTTTTTTTTTATATTTTTCGATATTACTAATAGTTATAAGGACCTCAAATCTGGAATTTCAAAGCAAACAGAGTTAAGATGAATCCGGTATGATTTTTCAAAGTTTCTGAATTTTTTGAATTTTCAAGAAGATGAATAAGATGGATGAAAAACTTGATGATTGATGAATAGAATGATAGATTTACCAATTGAAGATGACAACCTATGCTCTGATTACCAATTGATACGAATCTAGTTGTGTTAGATTCAAACCTACCCTTTGAATAACCACCAAAGTCGACTTGAAACACCAACTCTTCTAGATGAGTAAATCGATAATCTTCACTTAAGCAATTCACTTCGTTCGTCGGCCTTAAGTCTTCAATTAGACCTGCAATTGAACACCTAAGATCACAAGATTCACAAACAATTATGCTCACATAACCTAATTGTTTGCTAGGACTCTACAAGATTGAAGAACCCTAAGTTTGCTCAAACCAGAACAATGAAGCTAAGATAATCAATTTGTGTGTAAAACCTCAACTTTATTAATCAACTCAACTTGTGTTTACAAGAGGGGGATGGTGCCTTTATATAGGCATCAAGTCAACGCATACCCCCCTTAACCTCCTTTTTTTTGGCAGAATCCCCCCATAACCTCCTTACATAGGCGGTTTACACATAAAGGAAAGAACAAGGAAATAGCTTATCCCTTGTTCAACTAGGAAAAGTAAATAACATAACTTAATTAAGCAAGGATTGAACTTAGTCAAACAAGGCCCAACCCAATGTCTTCTAGACTAATTAAATAAGCTAATCTAAGATAGAACTAAGGCCCATATGGCCGAATTACACAATGTAAGCTCTAGGGTTCAACGATTTCAAGTAAAGTGCAAAACTTGTATTCGTTGGGAATATTCTTAATGATGTCGACTTCAATGCTTCCCAATTGATCTTCAACGGACTTCAAGCCTTCAAGATGAGTTCAAACAAAGCTTGTTCCAATTAAAAAAAAACGCCGCGTGAAACGCCGCCAAATTGGGCGCCGGGAAATATCGCGGCATTTTTTTCACAAAACGCCGGGAAAGCTTAACGGCGTTTTTTTTGTTCACCAACGACGGTTTTAAACGCCGTTTTATTGAATTTTAGGAAATACAAACATTTTACTAATTATTATTTTCATATAGCGGCGTTTAGGAAAAATAAACACCACCATTTGGCGGCGTTTTTCTACTTACACGCCACCAAATAGTGGCGTTTTTTTTGTAAACGCCGCGTTTTTTTTTGTTAACGCCTCGAAATGGTGGCGTTTTTTTAATTTAAAACGCCACTAACTAGGGGCGTTACCTTTTGTGAGCGCCACTATATGGTGGCGTTTACTTACCCGAAACGCCACTAAACAGCTGTTATTATCATAAATATTGGAAGTTATTTGGAGTGTTTGGTGGCGTTTTGTTCATTAAACGCCAGCATTTTGAGGCGTTTTGTTCGAAGAACGCCCCTATATGGTGGCGTTTTGTTCGTAAAACCCCCTATTTTTTTATACATTGGTTCTTGAAAATTTCTGATTTATGGCATTATTTTTCTTAAATGGCAATATTTTTCTGCGTTTGAAAGGCTTCTTATCATTTAAATGAGACAAATATATTTCTGCATAAACCAAATTGAACGAAGACCTCAATAAAACGAAATTTAGTACATCGAAATGGATTTGTTCTTGAAGCATTCATACAGATTTACATTGTGCAACATCTAATAAAAAGTTTGATATTAGAACACCTAAAGAATAAAGGAATCAAAAGAATCAAAATGTATCAACTTTTTTACCACAATGTGATTGTGCACTAGAAATCGATGTATTATTAACAAAAAGGTTTTGGGCATCGGCATCGCCACCGCCATCATCACTGCCACTGCCATTTTGAGTGCCCTACTAAAAAATATAGAAGTTATAACACCAATTAGAAAAACAACATATTAGGTAGTGTAATTAGGGCATAAATTATATTTCACCAATTATGCCCATGAAAGTGTGAATACCTGTGGGGAATTGTTAGGCTGTCCGAGTTCTTCACCTGGGAATTTTTCAGCAACAAATTTCATTAACTGACTTAGTTTCGCTGACATTACAACATTTTGTTGTTCCAGCTCCTGAAACCGAGCAATCTCCGCTTGTCTTTCTTCTTGAAATTTGCAAGCTCTTGTTGCCGTTGTAATTCCCTTTGCTGACCATGCAACACAAATGAGGAAGTATGATCAGACCCTAAACACTTTGCATGAACAAGTACATAACTCACAACACTTATAAGACCAAAGTCTTCACCAAAAAAAGCATGACATTGCAATCAAACAGCCACTAATTAAACTCATATCTTTTTAGGCCAAACACTTAAACTCAACTGTTAGACTGAAGCACCCCACATGCACATTTTCATCAAGTTTCGCATGCACATAAAGGCTAATAATTCGGCCTCATTTTCAGTCCTATCATATCAAAACCCAAATAAACACCAACAAAGCCAACTGCACAACAATCATAATTCCCTGAATTTCTCAATGCTACAACAAAGCACAAAACTGTTTATTTGACAAAAAGTTTAATTTGAACCAACTCAAATTAGTATTTCTTTTCACAGAGAGATGTTCATTTCACTGCATGTTAAAAATTCAAACCTCCATTTCGGTTATGAGCTGTTCAATCTGTAATGAAGATGATGATGAAGAACCCCGTGAACAAGTGAAACGGCCAACACGGTCTCCAAACCATTAGTTGGTGTAGCTCCGAATCCAAAACATCTGACTCTGCCATTTCTCTCGGGTCCTAGCACCTCAGCCATAATTATGTATTCAAGTTCATTTGGGGTCAAATTTTCTGTATCCCCAGCAGCTGCGGTTGCTTGCAACTCCATTGCCCTTTGCTATGATGACAATCATTAACTAACACATGTTAAGTTACATGGTAGGAGAAATACAAGACATGGCATGACCAAAATTATAGAATGCAACTGTTTTGACTCACTATTACAACTCGGCTTGCATCATTAAGGATTTCTCCATTTTTCCTTGTATGTGTCTTCTTGTACACTGCAACTACTCCACAGGTTCATTTTTGTTGATCTATAACCAAATCCATATCAAATTTGTACGTAATAGCAGAAGAGTAGTTAGTCCAAATTAATGATGGTAGATAACAGAATTATGTAACACAATTGCAAATTAGTTAGTCCAAATTACAGAATTATGTAACACAATTAGCAGAAAAGTAGTTAGTACAAATTACTTACCAGCTCCTCCCTTACTCTTGCAAAGCTTTTTGAGCCTGCACAATGAGAAAACTTTTGCTGTTTTCGGCTCTCTATTCCTATTTTCTCATTTTCCTATAAAAGAAAATGTCAACATGTTAATGTAGCAACTAGATATTAAAAAAAAAAAACAATTTTCAATTAATATACCTCTCCTTTTGTTGAGTACCAAAATCTGGCCATCTCATCATAAGCATCAATGTCTATATCAAGAGGTCGCAAAGAGATAGTGACATCCCATCCATCATCTCTATTAAAGCATAATTTTATCAAATCATGCTTAAAGTCCTTCCACTTTTTCCCCATATTCTTGAACACCCATGAATGTGGTATGTCAAGACGAAATCTGGTCTGAAAACAGAAATAAACTTATATAATTAGTAGACGAAATTCCTGAAATAATTAATAGACGAAATCTAGTCATCAACACCCATTAGTTATTTACTTATATAATTAACAAGAATCATATTCCCTATTTGTTAAGCCTTAAAATCTGTTACAAACCTCAATATACTTGATGGCAGCTATCTTTTTTCCCATTGGATACTTTTTCCATGATTCTGGATTGATTGGAAGAAGGGGCTGTTGCCAAGACAGCTTCCCTATAAATCCACCAAGTAGTTTAGCTTCATTTCCAATAGGTTGGCCAATTTCATTACCAGACACAATCACTCTACATGGAGGAATTGCCTTCCACAACCTATTCAGACTTGTTTTAGCTTGTTTCCTTTGTCCATTGTCATCAACTATTATTAAAACGTGATAGTTAAATTTTTTTAAAGAAAAAAACATATTTAAATAGATGAATATCATGATTAGGTTTAGAGATATACCCCACACAGTGGTCAAAGAATCACCATTGATCTCCTCAGAATGATTGGAATCAGGAGCAGATTCTCCCGCTCCATTACTCGCACAAGGGCCATGTGGACCAGAAACATTTGCTGCATCACTTGGGGTCGGAGTGGGATTCCGGGGTCCCATAACAGAGGCACCTGCTGCGTCCCTTGCGGTTGGACCGGAAGGAACAGAATTGCCCAAGACATTGGGTATAGAATTGGTTGCAGCAATTTGACCTCTTTCATCCTGCTGTGACCTCGTACAAGCGGGTCCAGGTGCCTCATTTCAACGCTCAGGTGGAGGAGGCGGCTGTTGTGTAGGGGTTTGCGGCTATACCCTACAGCTTTGCTGAATTGCTCGCTTGGAGTTGCTTATTTTTGCAGCATTTGCTTCCCTTTGTGCTTTTCGCTTCATAATTGCCCCCAAATCTGAAAATGGTAACAAAATATGCTGCAAAAAAGTTCAAAATGAAAGGATTAATCTTTTTGAATTATTAGGCAATAATAAAGAGTAGCAATTACAATTCACACAAATCAAAGGATTAATCATTATTCAATTACAGAAATCCGGAAGCAAACTTGAAACCAAATCAAAAAGCCAGAAAAGGGTCATTCAGAGCCTTACAAGCCTGATCTTCTTCTCTTTTCTTGACAGCTACGTATCCCAACCAAGTTAAAAGGGCTAATTAAATGTTCTGCAACACCATAAACAGCAAATAAGTCTTGACAAATAAAGCAACAGATTTGATTAACCATTTGTAACATAACATAGCAGAAAACAGCAAAATTCCATTTAAAAAAATTCACCATTTTTCTGTTTGCTTCATCATTGCACACAAGCATCAAAAGAAACAAAGCATAAGGCATTATTCATCTAAGTCAAAATCATCTCGAACCCATGGGATATCAGATTCGTCCAACATTATATTAGATGGAAAAAACTCCGTTCGTGGTTCAACCTCATTGGAATTATCCCCACCCAAGTCTAAATTATATCTAGGTGTAGTATGAACAACAATGTGCCAACTTCCTTGGATGGGATCTCTTGTGTAGAAAACTTGCTTTACTTGAGAGGGTCATTAACTAGAGTAAAACCATATTCATCTCTCCTGAGACCTCTAGAACTATTGACATCAGCCCATTGACATCGAAACATGACAACCCTATAGTTGGAAAAATAATCTAACTCAATGATATCATTAAGCACTCCATAATAGTCAAGGTTTCCTTCCACGGGGTTCGAATCTCTAGAACTAGCATAACTTGTAGTTGTAGAGGTGACAACAACTCCGGAATTTTGTCCTCAAAATCTCTGAAATTGTTTGACTTTAAATCGATATCCATTGATTGAATATGCCTTGTATCTTTTCACTAAGTCGTTTGGACCTCGAGAAAGAATAGCAACATCTTAAGATACTTGAAGCCCACTTGAAACCTGAAGATCATCTCCATAAATGAGTAACTATAAAAATCTTAAGATGATCTCCATATAGACTTCTATTATTACTTGTATCACTTACCTTCTCCCTTAACCATTCAGGAAATGTTTCCGTGAATAACTTGTCAACATCAAGTTGGTTAGGTCGTCGAGAACGAGAATTCATGACCAAGGATCTTTTGTACTCTCTAGAAAACAAAAAAAAGGCCTAATTAATACTAAGATTAGATATGTTCACAGTATTCAACTATAAATTGTTTTTAGTACCTTCTAAATGGCTCAACCGCATCATGATGGAAAAACATGTATCGATGAGCTTGGGCAATGGATTTCTAATCTAAATGGAGATACTCAATCCCACCAAAATGTTGACCACCACTTTCGAATAAATAAGGAACACCTGAATCATTTTCTGGAGAACCAAGATTTCTTGATGCTCTATTAAATCGAGTTTCTATCCCATCTAGATACCTAGAACAAAATGTCATACATTCCTCTGCTAAGTAACCTTCGGCAATGGACCCTTCCGGAAACCGTTTGTTTAGCACATAAGACCCCAACTTACCTAAGAACCTAAGAAAATAGTAAAAGTTAAATCTTTTACTATATATGGATATGGGAAATAGTACATTTGTTTTAATAATGAAATAGATTACCTTTTGACTGGATACATCCACCTCGGAGAAACCGGTCCCCCAAGTTTTGCTTGTAATGGCAAGTGAATAACCAAATGCACCATTATCGTGAAAAAACTAGGAGGAAAAATCTTCTCTAAATTGCATAAAGCTAATGCGGCGCGATCTTGGAGTTGGTCGAGCTCATCTAGCTTTAGAACCTTAGCACAAAGAGCTTTGAATATGTTACAAAGCTCAATTAGGGCTGCTGTCACTCTCTTTGGCAATGACGACTGTAAGGCTACTGGAAGTAAGTCATGCAATAAGATGTGACAATCATGTGACTTCAAATTGTACACTTTTCGCTCACTGACATTCACACATCTTGATATATTTGACGCATACCCATCCGAAACTTTGATGTTCTTCAAAACTTGACAAAAGACCTCCTTCTCCTTCTTAGACATGGTATAACATGCTAAAGGAATGCTTGTCTTTCAATTCTGATCCAGTTGAGGATGAACATCAGGTCGGATTCCCATCTCAACTAAGTCAAGACGACTATTGAGATTGTCTTTTGATTTCCCATCCAAACAAAGAATGGTGCCGAGAATGTTATCACATACATTTTTCTCTATATGCATCACATCAAGGTTGTGAGGCAGTAGATTGTGTTCCCAATAAATCAAGTCAAAGAAAATACTCCTCTTCTTCCACAAATTTGCATCATTTGGCCCATCTCCATCATCATCTTCCAAGTCACCATCTTCCACATTCCTTCTTCTTTTTAGATCTTTCTTTTTCCCCTTGCCATAAGAAAATTCAACATCTCTAAACTGTCGGAACCAGAGGTAACTGAAGGTGCTTCCCGTAACTTCACCGTGTTGTCAAAAGCACGCTTTTGTGATCTAAAGGGATGGTCTGCTTTCAACCACATCCGATGTCCCATATAAGAAAACTCCTCACCATTCTTCAACCAAGTGGAGCATGTTTCGGCCGTGCAACAGGGACAAGCAAAATAACCTCTAGTACTCCATCTAGATAAATTAGCATAAGCAGGGAAATCATTGATAGTCCACAATAATGCAGTACGAAGGTTAAAATTCTCTTTTCGTTCTGCATCATAAGTAATGACTCCGTCCCATAATTGTTTCAACTCTTCAATGAGAGGTTGCAAATACACATCAATGTCATTCCTCGGAGCTTTCTCCCCTGGAATTATCATAGCCAAAATGAAAGAAGATTGCTTCATCCCGATCCAGGGTGCTTGATTGTAAGCAATTAGGACGACTGGCCATGTACTATGAGTAGTACTCATTGTCTTAAACGAACTAAATCCATCAGCCCCAAGCCCAAGACGAACATTTCTATTTTCCGAAGCGAAATCCGGATACCTAGAATCAAAATCTTTCCACGCCAATGAATCCGCCGGATGCCTCAACTTCCCATCATTGGTTCGCCCATCGGCATGCCACGTTATAGACTTTGAAAAGCCTCTGAAGCCTTGGTATTAACGAAAAATACCGCAAAACTTTTGCTGGCCTCAATTTCACACGTCATTCCCCATCGTCCTCATTCAACACGTCACCAGAGGTGGGTTGTACCCATCGGGAAATCCCACAGACATGGTAAGACTCTTGATCTACCCTATCACCCCAAAACAACATACAATCTTGGGGACAACTATGAATTTTTTCATATGAAAACCCCAAATCCTTAACTATCTTCTTTAACTCATATAGAGAAGGGGGGATTACTGCAAACGGAAACACATCTTGCAATAACTCTAAAACCAAGTCTAAAACTTTTCCCGTCTTACCAGATAAGCATTTCAACTGCAAAACCTTTATTGAAAAGGATAACTTTGAATATTGGGAATCCAGGTAAAGAGGCTCATTCATACTTTCAAGTAACTTATAGAAGTTTGATGCCTCTGCAGTAGGTTCTCTGTCCCTTATATCTTCAACACCATCACCGACATTTGCATCACTCTCAAGTTCAGATTCATGGAAAGATTGTCGGTCATGTATATTCAATGCATCACGCAACAATCCATCCACGTCATCTCGTAAGATGTCTCCTCCTACTGTCTCCATTGAACTACCTCTACATGTGGGCATACTTGAAGTTGATTGAGGCCAATCATCACCATGCCAACAGAAGTTCTTATACCCTTTTACAAACCCGAAAACAACTAAATGCTCTTCTACAACGGCTCTGACACGCCACAACTCGTTTGCACACTTACAACATGGGCATAATATCTCATTATCACGACTTGTTTTTTCAAAAGCAACATTAAGGAACTGTTTGTAACCTAGCCTGATAAGCATTACTACACCTATCCTTGTCCAGCCAACTCTTATCCATAACACTTTTAATTTACCCTAAAACCAAATCACATAGACAAAGGTGTTCAAAAAACGCTTTTAAAATCCATGGCATATATATAAAAGTCCCTAACCCTAAAAAGGAATGTATACAAACATCAAAACGATGCATCATGTCAAAAACATGCCAAAACACAACAACAACACCAAATTTAGGTCAACAAAAACAACACCAAATATAGCTAAAAGAAAAAGACCAAAACAGTTTCTAAGGCAATTCATTTAACACATCCAGTCCATATTTAATGTAAAAAAGGGATAGTGCTAAACATACCTTAGCAGCAAATATTTGTTTATAATTCGCACAAGCTCGACTTGGACTGCCTCTTATAGTTTAGACAAGCTGCAAAAACATAAAATACAAGCACAAATTAATAAACACAATTACCATCTCTACAAGCTACAAAAGATATTAGGTGTCCAAAATTTAAAGATTTCGGTTTAAATAGTTGAACCCAAAGTACAAATTTATTTAGTAAAAAAAAAATAGAATATAACTCATACATGAAGATGAAAAAATGAGTTTTTAATAAAGTCAACCCAAGGTGTCTGTGCCATTTTTTCAAATTCTGAGTTGCACTCCCATTTAAACAATCTGTATTTGCAATTTACCATCAGATAGCAAATTCCTGATGCTTTCTTCTCTGTTAAATACTTTAAACCTACTTCCTTTTTAAAATGCAAGGCTATGGTAAGAGTGTTTGTCTTAAAAGGTGAATATCCAACACGTGGAACCTATAAGACTATACTAAATTTCAAATGTTCCTTATATTCTAATAATTAAGATGCAAAATCTCCAAGTTGAAAAACAAATCGAAAACAAATAAATTGAACAAACCTTCATGAGGGTAGAAAGTCCACTACAGCAAAAACGTAACCAAACACCACAACAGCTACTCCTACTCCAACCTATTAGGAAAAGAAGAAATTTTGAAAGAAAATGGAAACATAACATCATCATGATCTCTACTGATCTATGACCAACTGACTAGTCCATGAAAAGATCTCACTTGTCCAACGTTGGTGGGTGTTGGCCATTCTTTGATTGCCTTGATCTTTTCCTCATCAACCTCTATACCTTGCGATGAAACCACAAAACCAAGAAAAACAAGCTTGTTTGTGCAAAAGGTGCACTTCTTAATGTTAGCATACAATTTCTCAACCCTAAGTACATCTAACACACATCTTAGATGCCTAACATGCTCATCTAGGTTTCGGCTATACACAAGTATATCATCAAAATAAACAACAACAAACTTGCCAATAAAAGCTCTTAAAACATGATTCATTAATCGCATGAATGTACTAGGTGCATTAGTCAATCCAAAAGGCATAACTAACCATTCATACAACCCTAATTTAGTTTTAAAGGCAGTTTTCCATTCATCACCCTCTTTCATGCGAATTTGATGATAGCCACTCTTAAGATCAATCTTAGAAAATAGACAAGCACCATGCAATTCATCAAGCGTATCATCTAATCTAGGAATAGGGTGACGATACTTTACCGTGATGTTGTTTATTGCCCTACAATCAACACACATTCTCCAAGTCCCATCTTTCTTAGGAACAAGCAACACAGGAACGGCACATGGAGAAAGGCTTTCACGCACAAAACCTTTTTGAAGTAGCTCACCAACTTGCTTCTCCAATTCCTTTGTTTCTTCAGGATTTGTCCTATAAGCTGGCTTATTTGGAATTTGCGCCCCAGGGATGAAGTCAATTTTATGTTCAATCCCCCTAATTGGTGGTAAACCACTACGAATCTCCTCAGGAAACACATCTACATAATCACTCAAAAGAGAAACAATGTTGCTTGGAAGCTCGCTTTCCAAGTGGTTAGTGCTCACAAGTGTATATTTCAGCAAAAGCAAGATCAAAATAGAATTATCATTCAAAGCCTTTAATCTCACTCTTAGTTGCTAACATACACTCCTTAACAACCTTCTTAGAACTAGCATGCTTTTCAACTAAATCGCAATTCACATCTAACTTAGCATGTTTATTCTTTTCTCTAGCCCTATAATCGGATTCCATCTTAGTAAATTCCTCTTTCAATTTTAATTGATCTTTTAAAGCTTCTTGAGGTGATAATGGAATAAAAGTAAAGGGCTTCTTACCACACATGAGTATATTGGTTTGCCTCACCATCATGTTGAACTTTGTTGTCATATTGCCATGGTCGCCCAAGTAGTACATGACATGCTTGCATGGGTAAGATATCGCACAATACATCTCCTTTGTACCTGCCCAAACAAAGAGAAACTAAAACTTGTTTGTTAACCCTAATTTCCTCCTTATCGTTGATCCAACCCAAGCTATAAGGTTTAGGGTGTTGTGTAGTGGGTAATTGCATCTCCTTCACCAAATAAATACTAGCTATGTTTGTACAACTCCCACCATCAATAATCACACTACTAGGCTTCCCATTCGCATGAAACAAGTACTCCCTTTGATTGTTCAACTCCTAGACTTGTATGTCGATGACCTTCACAAAGCTATCCCTCCTCTTTCGTCGACCTTAAGCACTCAATTAGACCTGCAATTGAATTCTCAAGATCACAAGATTCACAAACAACTAAGTTATCTCAACCTAATTGCTTGCTAGGACTCTACAAGATGAAGAACCCTAAGTTTGCTCAAACTAGAACAATGAAGCCAAAGAAATCGATATGGGTATAAACCTCTCAACTTTATTGATTAACTTGACTTATGTTTACAAGAGATAAAAGAGCCCTTATATAGGGGAGGGGTTGGCGCATAACCTACTCCAAACCCAAATCCTAATACTATAAGGGGCGGCATAATTAAAAGGAAGGAACAAGGAAATAGCCTACTCTTTGTCCTACTAGGAAAAGTAAATAACATTACATAATTAAACAAGGATTGGACTTAGTCAAACAAGGCCCAACCCAATGTCTTCTAGACTAAATAAATAACTAATCTAAGATAAAATAAAGGCCCATGAGGCCGAATTACACAATGCCAAAGTCTAATGCTCATCGATTTCAAGTAAGGTAAACACCTTGGAATCGATGGGAATATTCTTGGTGATGTCGACTTCAATGCCTTCCAAATGTTCTTCAATGGACTCTAAACCTCCAAGATGAGATCTTACAAAGCCCAATAAAGCTTCCTTGAACTTTTTAGCCCGAGCCCTAGTCATTGGACCTTGCGGAATGGCTAAAGGATCAAAAGGCCGGTCTTGCCCGGATGGCCCAAACGATGGCCGGTTGTGGCCGGTTGGTGCGCCAAGCGATGGCCGCTTGTGGCCGGTTGCCCCATGCGATGGCCGGTCATGTGGCCGGTGTTGCGCGGCTTCTCCAAGCAATGGCCAGTCACAAGTGCTTCCAACTCCATGCTCCTCCAGGCTAGCATCGATGACATCTCCTTGATCTTTATTGGCTCCAATGTGTTCTTCTAAGCCATGATAAGCCCTTGGCGCATCATGAATCATAATCAAACAACCTGACAAATACCCCAAAAACCCTAATTAATACACAAACTAATATATATATATATATAAATATATGCTAATGTTCTTGATCAATTTCAGTTATAATAATCTGAATTATGCTATAGCTAGCTATTGAGAGAATCTGATATGAGATATATAGTCATGAAAATAAATTAATATAAGCACTAGCTAAAGTCACCTCACTAAGCACAAATCATCATCAGCAACATATAGGTATATCTATATGTATCAAGAGTATATAAATATATGCAGTTCAGTTCACTGCCTACTTGCAATAAACACAATATCAAAAATTACCAGCAATGAATGCACACCATTGCAGAAAGTCTATAATTCTTCAATATAAAAAACCCAAGTAAGAAATAAAACGAAGAAGAAATCAAAGCAAAACTTAAAAAAAGCTCAGATTCCCTTTTCAATTGTGAATAGGAAAATCAAAGACATAAATAACACATAAATCTTAAAACCCCTATCTCTCAGCTCAGGCAAGCCCTCAATTAACAAAACACCCTTATGAAACAATCCTAAGTCAGCCATCTATAAAAAAAATAAGCAAGGTATAAAGTTGCAGATCTTATTAATTAAACATGAAGCACCGTACACGAAAGCAGAAAACTTTGGGGGGGATAACCACAAAACCATGAAAAGGTAAAATGGATCATTGTGGAATTTAATTACATACCCGTGAAGAAGAAAGACTATCGAGCTCTTCTATTGCAACTTGAAGGGTTCTTATCTGATGAAAAGAAGAAAAATAGCCATGTGAATGTAAAAGCAGGAGATAGAGAAAAAAAAAGGACCAGAAGAAACATAGGAGGAGAAAATAAGAAGAATCGGCGCCAAGTGGAGGAGTCACCTGAGGTTGTTCGATCGGGGCCAAGCCGCGCGAACCAGAGACAAGAATCAGGCAAGGAAGGAGAAGGAAAGAAGAAGAAAAAGTTTGGAAAGAAAAGAAGAAGAAAAGGAAGGGAATCAAAAGAAGAAGCAATGAGTTTGTGGCGAAAATTAGGGATTTGGGTGAGGGGGAAATGGCATGCGTGAATGGAATCGGAGAGAAAACATAGAAAATTTTGGGGGGTTTTAATCTATTAAACGAAACACTTAGAAAAAATTTAGTATTGCTGGTAAAGGAAACGATGACGTTTAGTCATCGACTTTTCAAATATGCCAGCGTTTCGAGGCAAAACGCCATCAAATAGTGGCGTTTCAATGACAAAATGCCGTTAATGTATACCCTTCAAAAATTTAATTATTTGGGCGAAAAACTTTTCCCCCAATTTTTTTTTTGTCATATGCTGGCGTTACAGCATAAAACGCCCCGATTTTGTGGCGTTTCAACAAGAACGCACCGCTATGTTATTTATAAGATTTTTATAAAAAGCAATTTTAGAGGGAAAAATTATATTTTCCTTGAATTAATTGCGAGAAAAAAAATTACCCGCCCATTTTTCTAATATACCGACGTTTTTTATCTTAAACATCGTGATATGACGGTGTTTTCTTTACAAACGCCGTTAAGAGGTTTTTTTGGGTTAATCTTAGCGGCGTTTGACTGAAATGCCGCTAAATAAACGCCCCAATTTCACCTATTTCTAGTAGTGGTACCTTATTCCAATATGTTTTCAACATTGATAATATATATCAATTCAGTAGAAGTTGTCCTCAAAATTTAAACATTTGGTCTGTGCCATTTGACTTATTATCACTCTCTCTTTCTTTCCAACTAAATTTAAAGACCAAAACAAATTAGATAGCCCCACGACCCAATCCAAGAAATCATTCATTTTTTTCTTTTTTTTCCCCTTACATTACGTGAAACAACAAACGACATCATTTTCTCTCTTTCTTCTTACATATAGATGATTATTTGAAAGGAACCTTTGAAAGGCAGCTGTTGTGGCATGAGCTATTCTTTGTATAAAATATAACAATTAGTTTAATCCATATAACATATTTAAAACTTTATATTTATTAATGTAATTTTAAAAATTTCCTCTGAATTTCAATGGATAGCATATTTGAGATGTTTGTCTTGCTTCCATGCTACTTCGTCCACAAGTACGACAATATCAGGGGCTATGTTCCTTAGAGTCAATTTTCTTCAACTATCGCGATCAAGGGTTATCACATCATTCTTACCAAATGACAGCCGTTGTCGCAACGTTCGGGTCAGGGGAACCCTGCCGAAACGACTTTGAAAAAGAGGAGTCACCACTAATCTTTTTTCTATGATGTGATTAGCCACCTAATGACCTCCTAAGCCTAGTTAAATCCATAGCTCGGCAATGGACCCACTAAACCTAAAGTCTGGTCTTCCAACCTAAATCTAGGTCCGGGAGTCTGTTACATTTGGGGAAGGATCGGCACCCCCAAATGCCCGTTAAAATGACGGTATCTCTAGTCTAAACTGAAAACCTAGTGGGTCTAAATAAAAACGGTTGCTTTTACCCTAATCTTGATTATTAATCAAAAGTGTTACAAAAGAAAAGAAAAATCATTTTAAAATCAAGTTTAAATGTTGAGAGTTTTGAAGAATACAATCGAACGACCGTCGATTGATCCTTCTTTCAACTCTCTTTCACTGTTTGTTCTCTTGTTGGATCTCCCACACCGGGAAGAGATTTTGAAAATGCTGTGACAAAACTTTTTTCATTTTTTAAGGAAAACCAATTGATTATTCTGCCAAAAATCTTGTTATTTGGAAAAACTCACCCTTAAAATTAAAGTTTTAATTTTTGAATTAAGATTAGCTTAAAAAGATTTGATAATCTACTTCTGAATTAATTTTAATCTAATACTCAAATCTTTAAACCAAAGACTTGACTTTTCAAATTAAAATTAATCCAAAAGGATTTACTGATTAATCTCCAAACTAATCTTAATCCTAAAATCGAAACTTTAATTCAAAGGGTTTACTTTTTATTAATCAACTTTGAAAATGTTTACCTTGAAAACTCTAGAGTTGCCGATTTTTAATTTTTTTGAAAATTGAATAAGAGAACATAATTAAGAAAAACAATTTTGAAAACCCATTTTTATTACATCTTTTGATTTTCTAATTTTTTCATTTTTTTCATTATTCTCTTTTCTTCTTCTTTTTTTTTCTTTTTCCTTTAAACTTTGACCTAAGTATAAGCTAATGCATGTATGAAATGATGGATGCAAAGTCTGGTTTATTAAAGTCAACTCACGTAACCCGGGTTATTGAAAGCCCTTCCCGGGATATATGCTCGGAAGCCCGACGCATCCCGAGAAGAACCATCTCATCCTCAGAGACATTCAGTGGCCCCGAAAACTCGACCACTCACTGAATGCCCCTTCTTCGGAAGGGTTACGGTCGTTAACTACATTAAAGTGGCATGAAATGCAAACAGATATAATTGATTACAAATATACATGATATGCATGTAATTACATTCTACTTTACTTCAACATTAAATTACTAAATTATTACAAACCCCAAAGATTAATGAAATTATATAATTCAAAAGCTAAGGCCAAACTGGACAATTCTGGGGACTTTTCTACACACTAAAGAAAACAATTAGTAAAGTTCAGGGGCTAAATAGCACAAATTGCAACCAAGAACATAAAATCAGGGACCCAAATGAACAGGGAAATAGACTTGGGTCTTTATGTGAACTAAATTGAGCGTTTCAGGCACCTAAATGAGCATAAAGATAAATCTGAGTCTTAAAGTGTACCTGAAAACAAGTTATTAAGCTATCATGAACTAGATTCATTAATCCCACTTTAAGTTGATTTTTAATATAAATAATCAGGCCTTTTAATTCAAAGCTTGGGTCTTCAAATTAAAATTAGCTCATAATGATATAAATGCTAATTTTAATTTAAAAATTTAAGCTTTGAATCAAAGATTTCATTTTTATAATTAAAATCAACTCAAAAAGTGATCAAGAGTCTATCTTTGAATCAATTATAGTTTAAAAGTCAAATCTTTAAGCTAAAGGCTTGATTTTCTTTTAAGTCTAAATTATATTCCAAGGAAAATAACCATAATACAATTCTAGCCATCATTTTATTCACTTCATCATGCTATAACAAACAAAGGTCACAACTTTAACATAGAAACTAGCAATTCAAACTTCTTAGACACAAATCTTCACAAAAATAAACCATTAAAGCAACATAGATCTAATCCATTATATTTTATTAACCCAAAACAAAACTATATTTCACTAAAAATCTAAGGCTTTAACAAAATAATCACTTTAATCATCAAACCATTATCATAAGAACATGAACATATATGAATCCATCAAAATAAACTTCATCAATCATGAAATTAGAAACAAAATTAAACACTTAAAGCAAACAAGTCCCAAATCGCATGATGACTTCAGAAAAATGATTGAATTGCATGAAAGAGTAAACTTACCAGTCAAAAGCGACGCCGTTTGGTCCCTATCCTCTCCCTTTTATCGTTTCCCTCTTCTCCTCTTTGCTTCGACTTTTCTCTTCTTCGAACAGAGTGAACCCTAGCTCTGCAAATCCCCAAATTCCTTCCAATTTTTCCCTTTGTTATCACAATTGTCCCTTAACTCTTGAATCCCCAAGCTTAAGAACTAAAAACCCTCAACAAAAACGAAGAAAAACGCTAATTTTGTTTGAAGATTTTAAAAGCAGAAACGAAGAGCGAAGGGAACGAAGCGATTTTTCAGCAATTCCTGGTGGAATACCCTTTCAAATGCTGTAAGTTCCCCTTTTTTGCCTCTTCCCTGTTTCTCTTCTTCTTCTTCGTATTTTTTTTTTGGAAGAAAACAGAGAGAAATTCAAGAACCCTAACCTACCCCATCCTTCCCTTTTTTCATTTTTTTTCCAAAATCCGTACCAAGCCTTCTTTAAAGGCAGCAACCAATCCTCCCTTATCCTTTTCTGCTAATTTTTTGTATCTTTTTCCTTTTTTTCCTTTCCCCTTCTTTCTTTTCGGTTAATTCCCTCTCTTTTGTAGCAGGTGG